GTTTTTGAATTATAAAAAAAGTTTTATCAGACGAATTAAAAATTCATTTATAGAAAATGTAGAGAAAATAATTGCGGTTTTTTTTGAGCTATAGAACTCCTAGAAATGTCAAAAACTGAAAGAGGAGATAGATTTTTTCTGTAAAAAACTTTCAAAAATGACCATTTTTGACATTTTTTCTTCCGGAAAACGACCATACATGAATCTGTAACCACTTGTTATTTTTTAAAGAGTCATTTGAATCATCTTGGAACTCCACAAAATCAGATAAAAAATTCTGAAATTTTGGTTTTAGACCTGCAATTGTGATCGCGCCAAACTGTTTTTCTGTAGATCAAAACATTTCAATTATCGATTATATAATAACCATCTGATAGTATTATTCACGTAGCAATAAAATTAGAAATACGAAAAAAAACTTTTTTCGTAAATCTCAAAATTCTGAAAACTGAAATTTCAAAAAAAACTGAAGCTCAGGAATTTCCGAAAAGTTAGAATATCAGAATTTTAAGGAAAAAATTCAAAAAACTTCAAATTTTCAGAAATTTTGAAATTTCTCAAAATTTCTGAAATCTCAAAATCTAGGATTTTGGAAATTTTGAAAAGTTCAGAAAATACAATTTCTTGGAATTTTCGAAAAATCTGAAATTCCAGAAACCCCAGAAATTCCAAAAAATTCCAGATCATCCAAAAACTTGTATTTTTTCAGAACCAATAATCCTGGAAATTTTCTCTTCCTAAATAGTGAAATGGATAAAGCAGCTGAATTTCAATCTCAACATCCAGGGTTCAATTCCACACGGAAGCGAATCTCTTTTGAAAATTCTGGTATCAGAAAATCCAAGAAAAAAAATAAATTTAAAAAAAAATAAAGCAAATGTACCCTCTTGTATGAATACGAGTGCGCCTAATCACACGGTGTAAATCTGTGATCAGGAAGGAGAATAGAAAATATAAAAATCAATGGAGAAATACATAATAAAAATACAAGTCATTATATCAGATAAACCATCATTCTGTGAAATATTGTCGGAATAAAAAAAATGAGACTCGGTGTTTGCGTACTTTGATTCCCGCCTCACCCCCACCGACGCTCC